CTTCCCGGATGTGCTCAAACTGCTAAAATCCACTACACGTCGCGGCTTTCAGCAGAGACCTCTTTCTCAGCAAACAAAGATGGGTCTGTGTTGCAGCCGTCTTTGCTTTGGCAGCGGAGAAATCAAGGCAGCCTCCCATGAATATTTGTATGGTCTAGATAAGAAGGTCTGAAGGGGGACTGTGCTCTGCTTGTTTGCCCTTGCTGGGGACAGGATACGAGCTTGTAATTATCTGCGCTTTGTGTTTTTGCCTCCTTGACCTTCTCCTCTTGCTTCGGCTGCGGCTGACAACCAAGGAAAGCAGCTGTTTATTTACTATATACTGTATTCGTTGTTTATAAGAACACGAGAAGAGCCCGGTGGACTCTTGCTATGATTATTAACTCTCTACCCTTCAAACAGGGGTTATGAATGGAAATCTTCCCTTTTAGGAAGGCGCTACTCATCTCTCTCTCTCTCTCTCTCTCTCTCTCTCTCTCTCTCTCTCTCTCTGCAATGTCCAGTATACCTGAAAGAGCGTCTCCACCCCCATCAGACATGGAGGTCCAGAGAGGGCCTTCTGGTGGTTCCTTCTCTGCAAGAAGCGAGGCTACAGGGAACCAGGCAGAGGGCCTTCTCGGTGGTGGCTCCCGCCCTGTGGAACGCCCTCCCATCAGATGTCAAGGAAATAAACAACTACCTGACTTTTAGAAGACATCTGAAGGCAGCCCTGTTTAGGGAAGTTTTTAATGTTTGATGTTTTATTGTGTCTTTAATCTGTTGGGAGTCTTCTCTTCTCATGAGGTGGCCAAAGTCTTGGAGCCTCAGCTTCACGATCTGTCCTTCCAGTGAGCACTCAGGGCTGATTTCCTTCAGAATGGAGAGGTTTGATCTTCTTGCAGTCCATGGGACTCAAGGAAGAAAACATTAGCAGGATTTTAATCTCACTTGTAATGTAACAAATACTATGGACAATATGGATAGATTTAAAATATAGATTATGAAATCATGTGCAGTTGAAAACGTTGCCAATAGGACCAACGGAGGGGATGGGGCGAAGTCTCGAGATTCAGAGAAATCTCTTTGTATGGATATGTATTTGGTTTTGTTATAAATTTATCCAGTGGTACCTCGGGTTAAGAACTTAATTCGTCCTGGAGGTCCATTCTTAACCTGAATCTCTTCTTAACCTGAGGTACCACTTTAGCTAATGGGGCCTCCTGCTGCCACCGCGCCACAATGTCTGTCCTCATCCTGAAGCAAAGTTCTTAACCCGAGGTACTATTTCTGGGTTAGCGGAGTCTATAACCTGAAGCGTCTGTAACCTGAAGCGTCTATAACCCGAGTTACCACTGTATGTGTAAAATCAAATAAAAACGATAATTTAAAAAAAAAAATCCCACCTTTACCGCCCAGGACCTCAAGGTGGTCCACGAAGCTCTCTCCTCATTTAATCTTCACAACAACCCTGTGAGGTCGGTTGGGCTGAGAACCAGTGAGTGCCCCCTGCAGGCCACCCAGTGAGTTTCAACTTGGCTCAGTGGAGGATTTGAACCCTGGTCCTAGTCCAACACTCTAACCACTACACCACACTGTCTCTCAAACTACAGTTCCCGGCATTCTTTGAGGGAAGCCATGGCTGTTTCAGGTGCCGTTATGATGCTTTTTTTTTTTTTGCAGAAGAGGCCTGAAGTTGCATCTTCTCACGGCTTCATCTATTGGGCTTTAGTCACGGTGTGGCAGTGGCCCAAAAGGCCACAATAAATGTGATAATGTGTACCCCTGTAAATCCTTGAGTGTGCTTCTAATAGAGAAGTTATGGGAGCCTGTTACTTTATGAAACATGATTTTGCAAGTTGCCAAACCCCCCCAAATTGGGGCAGAAATACAGCTAATATGTGAACCACAAAGATACATCTCAAAGCTAGAACATAAGTTGCTACATGGTGCAAATGGCTCCACGTAACACAAGTTCCCAACATGCACACTAACACAATGTAACAGAACACAGTGGGAATCAGAACTTAATCAGCAGAAATTACCAGTGCTTACTGCGCATGTAGGGACGCGGGTGGAGCTGTGGGTAAAACCTCAGTGCCTAGGACTTGCCGATCGTATGGTCGGCAGTTCGAATCCCCGCGGCGGGGTGAGCTCCCGTCTTTCGGTCCCAGCTCCTGCCCACCTAGCAGTTCGAAAGCACCCTCAAGTGCAAGTAGATAAATAGGTACCGCTTTATAGCGGGAAGGTAAACGGCGTTCCGTGTGCTGCGCTGGTGCTGGCTCGCCAGAGCAGCTTCGTCACGCTGGCCACATGATCCGGAAGTGTCTGCGGACAGCGCTGGCTCCCGGCCTCTTAAGTGAGATGAGCGCACAACCCTAGAGTCGGACACAACTGGCCCGTACGGGCAGGGGTACCTTTATCTTTACCTTTTTACTGCGCATGTGTATTAAACATAAAATGAGGTAATGATGTATATGACTGGTGAAAATTGAAATGCTTTGTTTGAAATATCACTGCCTGGACCACCGGGCGGGGTTGCAGTTGTAATAAACGAAAATCTGCCCTTATTCCTTTACGGGGGACACAAGAGCCCTTATAGAGTCCTTTGCAGGTTCTCCATCGGTTAAAGAAAATAACAGAGGCCAACCAGAGAATATTGAGAAGCAAAGCAGCTAGTAAGCCTGATTTTTATTGAACTGTTGCAACAGGGTGCCCCCTTCACACGCAGAAGGAGGAGGACCCTGAACCAAGGTGTGCCCGCCCTTATATAGACATTTTAAATTGCTCGCCCTGGAGTTCAAAACCACCCCCAGACACATCATACACAAATCACAGAAAGGGCAGTCTACAACAGAAATCCGAGTGCGTTGTTTATCTCCTGTCTGGCAAGTTACCTGTTAATGCTTACTTGATTGGATACCCTGGGAAGCCTGGCCAGTCTTTTGTGATGATAAATACTTAGTTCTTGAGCCAGGTCACAGGCTCACCCTATTCATACACAGACATACCCTTAAGACAGGGTTTGTGAATGAAAAGACAATGGGGAGGCTTTTCCATTTTCCTTGACCTTGCAGAGAAATCATTTGGTCAGTTTGGGAGTCAAAATGGTTTCAGGGCTGTTTTCCTGTGCTGCTTCAGACATGTGGTTTATATATTTATGTACGTGTTTGCTTGGTACATTTACGAACATTTATTATATATATAAGACCTTAAATTTTTTATTTCACAGTTTTGCGGAACGATCTGACTGTGACCTATTGCTTTGCAATAATCAACGCTGGACTCCTAACTCCTCAAGTTTCTGAGTTTTATTGGCGTAAACTCAGGAGATAAGCTATTTTCTGGCTTACAACAACGGGAATGTCGATTTCAGCTGAAAAGGAGGAGGAAGCAATTGGACCATGGAACCAGTGACAATTGTGGACGATGGTGAGCTGTCAGTGGCTCAAGTTCTCTCCTATGTGTGACCTTGGTGGCTCAGCATATGTCTGATGCTTGAGACCAACGATTGGCTGTACGTCACTAGAGGTTTGTGGGCCTCTTGTCTTCTAGGAAATCTTCTCTCTCGATTGTCTCTCATTGAGGAAGCCCCTGATCAGCTTCTAAGGAAGCACAGAGTCCACCTGCCTCCTTGGAAAATGTGTCTATCTTAGGCTAAGCAAAGCATGCATCTTATTCTGCAGGAAGGGACTGCCTCACTGTGGTCATATCTAGAAATTTTCCTTTTTTAAAAAAAAGATACATGGAATCATAGAATTGCAGCGCTGGAAGAGTTCCAGAGCAGTTTTGGAAACTCAGATATAGAAGCTAATCGCCAAATGGCACCTTAAACCTAGGTTATGGTCAGCATAATGAAATGGCTAGGCACCATTTTTATTTTTTTACAATGAAATTTATTATTATTAGTCATTTCATTTCTATACTGCCTTATATTTTAAAGGGGAAAAAAATCTCAAAGTGGTTTACAACACATCACAACATCAAATAAAACAACAGGAAAAACAGATGCTGTACAGTGGTGCCCCGCAAGACGAATGCCTCGCAAGACGAAAAACTCGCAAGACGAAAGAGTTTTCTGTTTTTTGAGCCGTTCCGCAAGACGAATTTCCCTATGGGCTTGCTTCGCAAGACAAAACGTCTTGCGAGTTCTTGCGAGTTTGTTTCCTTTTTCTTAAAGCCGCTAAGCCGTTAATAGCCATGCTTTGCAAGACGAAAAAACCGCAAGACGAAGAGACTCGCGGAACGGATTAATTTCGTCTTGCGAGGCACCACTGTACTAGTGGAGCGACAGCTTTTCCTCTTGTTGCATCAGGCCACCTGTTCCAAAATACTCTGGAGGCGGCCAGCCAGATGCCAATGCAAGTACATGCACAGCTTCTCCATTGCTGGCTGTCGCTGCCGTCTGGCACTTAAAGGTAGACTGCCTCTGTTCCTGGAGGTTTCATTTGCCTATTAGCAATTTTATTATATTTTATCATATTTTATTATATGGCCATACTTCCCTTTCCTGTTCAGGGAAGTTTTTAATGTATGAGATATTACTGTATTTTTGGTCTTTGTGGAAGCAACCCAGAGTGGCTGGGGAAACCCAGCCAGATGGGCGGGGTACAAATAAATAATAATAATAATTATTATTATTATTATTATCAAGCTACTAATGCACACAGCTATGTGCACTGCTGTGAATTATCTTTGCACTCATTTAACAATATTTCATTCCTCGACCCCGCCAAGTCTGGCCAAACTCCTTTTAATTGGGTGAAAAACACAGAAAGACTACATTTCCCATGATGCACTCTTGCGGGGACCACCGCGGACCAATGGGAAGCAGCGAATTGCTTCGACGAAATCCCGCATGCGCCACGATTCGCGCTGCGAAGGTACGTCGACTACGTTTCCCAGCATGCAGAGCGGCTCCCCCCACATGACACCCGTGAGCCAACGGAAAGCGGCCTGCCTGCCCTATAATCCTCCGCGGCGGCGGAAGCAGCCTCTTTTCAGCCCGGGCTGTTCGGCTCAAGATGGCGGTGCAGATCTCCAAGAAGCGAAAGGTGAGGGCGGCGGGCGGCCGGTGCGGAGCCGCGGGGACTGGAGCCGGGAAATGAGGCTGAGATGAGGAGCAGAGGGCCGAGCTGTGGGGTTTGAGGTCTCCGGAGGGGCCGGCGGCGGGGCGAGACCGGCGGATGGAGGTGGATTGAGGCCGGTCTCCCCGCTCTCCCGGCTGGGCCTGGCTTGAAGAACATGGCGGCAAGGCAGAGGCCGGGTGGGCCCTGGACAGGCCGGGCTGGGAGACAAGAGAAGGCCGCTCGAGGCCCTCAAAGGTTTGCCCAGGAGAACACGGGAACCTGCGCCATGCCCTGCTTAGGCCTTTGGTCTGCCTGGGCCTATATTGTCTGCACTGGCTGGCAGCAGCTCTCCAGGTTTTGGGGAAGGGGACCCTCAAAAGCGCCTGGAAGGGCCACTGGGGGTTGAGCCTGGGGCCTTCTGCACGCAACGCAAGTGCTCTCGCTGCTGAGTGCGAAGAAATAGCTTTCTTTAATGGAAAAAGGATAAGAGGCTGCATTCTAGTACCAAACTCCTATTCCCAAATAAATAAGAAGGGTCTATGACGCTATGTAGTCTCAGCTGGATCCCCTTTGGGGACCATTAAAGCACCAGTATCTCGGTGACTGGTATATGTATTTGGCAGGGATGCTGCTTGGAGGTTCTGGGGGGCTGTCACGGCTAAGAGCAATTGCTAGGTTTGTCCCCGGAAGCTAAATGAAGTGCTGGCGGACCAGGAGTTTTTGCAGGAAAAGGGGACTTCTTGCAGGGGTGCATCCTGTTTTGGTGTCACTAATGCATTATTTTCCTGTTGTATGCTGCTGCTCTGACAGAGTAGTACATTGCCTTCGTTCAGGGTAGACAAAAGTACAAGGTTTCGGCTAAAAGTTTTCTTTTAAAAAGTGGCAACCCGGTTTTATGGACAGCACGATCAAGAAATTTGTGTGTGTGTGCGCGTGCGCTCATATCTAAATTGTACATGAAAGCAGGATCATGCCACTTAAAACAGGCAGAGCTTTCCCCAAAGCATCCTGGAACTAATTTATTATGGGTTCTGAGAGTTATTAGACACCCCTGTTCTCCCGTAGAAAACTACAGTTCCCAGTTTCCTGTGAAGAGGGATTGATTGTTAAACCACTCTGGGAAGTGTAACTATATCACTTACCTAAGGTTCTTCCAAGAGTCACGGCAGAAACTTGGCTGGCTCTTAATCCAGTCCATCTCCATTCTGAGTGAAATTTTGAGCCTTTTGGTTATTCTGCACATGCACTGGGCAGGATTGGTGCACATCAGGCCCAGCAGATAGTAACTGCTTGTCGATTATTATTATTATTTAAACCAGACTTTTCCCCTGGGGTTTGCAGGGTTAAACTGCTGCTGGCTTCTCATAATCTGTTTTGCTCTTTATAGTTTGTGGCTGATGGTATCTTCAAAGCTGAACTGAATGAATTCCTGACTCGGGAGCTGGCTGAAGATGGCTACTCTGGTGTGGAGGTCAGAGTTACCCCAACCAGGACAGAAATCATCATCCTTGCAACCAGGTGACTTGCATCTGTGTGTCTGGTGGTGGGTGAACAACTCTGCCACTGCGATAACTCAAAAGTCTGGCGGTGTGTTCATATAGGGTGGTTTGACTGAATCCAGGAGGCAATTGAAATATTGAAGCCTGTACCTATTACAGACATGTATACACTGCAGGAAGATTGAGTGGATCTGTAAATGTAGGGCTCATGTATTTGAAAACCATCAAAGTTTGGGGTGGAATATAGGAAGCTGCCTTTTACCAAGCCAACCATTGGATCATCTAACCCTGTATTGTCGACACTGATTGGCAGAGGTTTTCCAGGGTTTAAGACGGAGAATATCCCTGGCCCTACGTGGAGAGGCTAGGGCTTGAACCTGAGACCTTCTGCATGCATAACACATGATCTGCCACTGCAGCCCCTCTTCTGCATTTTTACCATCTACTGCATTCCTGTTGGATAGGAATGGTTTCTTCCTGAATGTTGGAGTTGGATCAGAAGAGTTGCTGTGGTTTGCATGGTTTCCCTATATATATAGCTCTGTAGAAGCAAACAGCTTGCTTTGTATTCCTCACCCTTTTCAAAAACCACGGGTGCAGGAGCCACTTGGACTCACTTGGTGATAGATCCAGATTCAGACAGTACTTTCCCATGAACTGCAGGGTGAAATACTGATCTAGATTGGCCTTCTGCGTGTTGATGCCCTCTGACTGTTGTCGACGACTGTTATCCTGGTCCCTGACATTCGGTCATACTGGCTGAGGCTGATCGGAGTTGTGATCCGTGAGGGTAGAGGTGGCCTAAGTGCTGCTGTACCTGGAAATCTAACCCATGTTGGGTCAAACAACATGTTTCTAGCATTTTCAGGATTTTTTGCAGCAAAAATTAATGTGGGATTCATCAGTTTTAAGTGTAGCTTAGTTCCTTTTTAAAATGTGTGTTTTTGTAGTTTTAATTCATTTTATGTTGGAAATACTATTATACTTCCTGTTAATGGGTCAGGGACTGTATAATAAAATTGATTTAATTAAGAGCTGGGCCTCTTAATTACATCTGCTGCAAATGATTTGGTGTGGAAAAACAATGGCAGACCCTTCCACCTGTGTGTTGACCCAAGGGCTGCTTTTTGCTAAGAAAGAGTCATGTCCAGTCCTAAATGCACAGCCTAATGTAACTGGGAATAATGCACCTTCCTCCATATCAGCCTACACTCACATGGTCAGCTCCTTCAGTTTAACATCTCTTAATGTGTTGAACTCTGGCAGTGTCAGAGTTAGGACGGGACAAATGGTTGCTTTTACACACTGTTTCTAAAAGGGGAAAAACCTGCTGGATCAAGCAACCTGCCTCTTATATTCTCAGTGCTGATAACTTCTAGAATACCCCATGTTATTTCAGCGATTTCAAAATGGAGACTAAAATATCTGAACATCTTAAGTGAGGACTTAATGCCTTGCCTTTGCTCCTTCTTTCAGAACTCAGAATGTTCTGGGCGAGAAAGGGCGCCGTATTCGTGAGCTGACTGCTGTTGTCCAGAAGCGGTTTGGTTTTCCTGAGGGAAGTGTTGAGGTAATGGCTTCCCCAGTTTTCACTTTCTGCTTATTGTGTGCCAAGTTCCCCCTTCAGTGATGATCTGATGACGAGTCAGAAATGGCCACCTGCCTGCTCAGAGTAAACAGCACAGCGCCGCGTTCTGTGGTGCTGTGTGTGGGTGCTTGGGCAAAGGTGTCCTGTTCATTGGATGATCTTGAGGCATTTGTCTGAGAAGGGCGAGTCAACGGTTTTGGAGTATTTCCTCAAACTGGTGTCGATTTATTGATCTAGGCTGATGTGATTGTAACGCTACGAGAATGGGGTTTGTTTTTCAGAGACAAGAGCAGCCTTGTCTAGCCAGCCACCCTCCTTCCAGCTGTCAGTGGTCCACAACTTCTATCAGTCCAGTATGGCCAGAGGTTGTGTTTGGTGGAAGCTGGATCCCAAAACATCTGGAGGGTTGCAGGAGACTAGGTTGGAGCATTGGCTGCAAAGGTCAGAGGCTTCAAATCTGGGTGGATGAGGGTTAAAATTAGCAAAGCCCCTAACCATCAGAATTGCGAATCTAAAACAAATTTGCAAACTTAATTACCCTTTCAAGTTTCATATAGCTGCTGGACTCGCCAAACACCTATGTTAACCATTAGTGAGCTTTACAAAGCTGTAATAATCTACTTTTATGCCACAACCATGCTAGCTGGGGGTGCTGGGAATTGTAGTTCAAAACATTTGGAAGGTGCTGGGCTGTGTTAAGAGAAGTTCTCAGCTGTTAGCTTCCCAGCTAGTGCTGTGTTTCCATCTCTTCCGTATATGGCCCTCTTACTATTAATTTCTTTTTAAGTTTTTAGCCCCTTTGCCCCTTCTGTGCTTGGCATGTCTGGAATGATGTTTTTGCCCAGTATTGGCCAAACAGGTTGAGTCACCTGGCTGAGCTTTCCGTAGACACTTTCCACCCTTGGAAGCGTCTCAACGGTGGCATCTCCAAGTTGGCCAACGGTTCTGGAACCAAACTGGCTTTTAAAACGCATTATCATGATACTGCAACAATGCACAGCGTAAGTGGGCCCTGCACTGAAAACTGGTGTGTTTATGGGATGCCTTGGCTCAGCCTGTGGAGCGGAGGAGAACACCTACAAACCCTTAAGGTCATGTAAGTATTTTCAGAGAGTTTGTGAGTGCAAAGTGAAGATGAGCCTGTAAAGCAACAGAGGTGCCTGCAAGCCTGAACTTTGCAAAAATAAAAAATGGACAAAATGTTCCTGCTTTCTTTTCCAGCTGTACGCTGAGAAGGTGGCCACGAGAGGGTTGTGCGCCATTGCTCAAGCAGAGTCGCTGCGTTACAAGCTTCTGGGGGGCCTTGCAGTCCGTAGGTAAGCAAGCAACACTCCGTCTTATCATTTTGCAATAGCGTTTAGAAAACTGGGGTTTTAATTGTGCCTCTGCAGAAGTTTATAATCAACACATTGGGCTGAATAAATCCCACCTTAACGCACCTTAAAGTTCCCCTCATCTCTGCACTGGTGCAGTTGCTCCTTTCTCTTCTGCGTAATGGGCAAAATTATTAATGTAGCATGATGTTTCAGAGGTGGAGAGGACAAGTCATTGCCCTGCAGAGCTTGCAATCTGATGTTCAATATAGGGAAAGGGAGAGCAGAGTGGGGAGACCCTGACCCAGGCAAGTTTATGCCACAACGAATTTGCGAGATTCTTGTTTCTACTCGAGCTAACTTGCCTTGCCAGATTCCCCCAAAGTATGGCCTCTTCCTTGAGCGTTGTTGAATGGCAACCCTTGTAAGAAAGGAAAGAAAAAACCCTTCAGTGATGATACGATGACGAGTCAGAAACGGCTGCCATCTGCTTGGAGTAAACCGCTCAGTGCTACGTTCTGTGGCGCTGTGCTTGGGTACTCCCAACAGAGGCGTCCTGTTCATTGAATGATCTTGAGGCATTTGTCTGAGAAGGGATGAAGTCCAATGTTGGAAGTCTATGGGGATGGGGGGGTGGGTTGTCCTGCTTAACTTGATAATAAAGCAGTAGATCAGAGGAGAAGGCCCAGCGCAGTTCAACGGAGAGTTTTCCTTCTCTTCTAGGGCGTGTTACGGTGTCCTCCGCTTCATCATGGAGAGTGGAGCCAAGGGCTGCGAAGTGGTGGTGTCGGGAAAGCTCCGTGGCCAGCGAGCCAAGTCCATGAAATTCGTGGATGGCCTGATGATCCACAGCGGAGACCCCGTCAACTACTACGTCGACACGGCTGTCCGCCACGTCCTCCTCAGGCAGGGTGAGTGGGGGCGGGGCAGGCAATCTCTCAGGCAGCCCCCAGTTGGCTTCCTTGTTACTAAAAAGATTCTGGGCCTTCTGTAACCCCCGGCTGCTTCGTAGGCTAGCTAGGCTGGTTCTCACGTTGCATCAAGCCATGGTTTGGCAGTAGGTCGGAAGCGGGGAACCTTCTTTGGCTCTTCCCAGCCTCCTTGAATGTTCCGTTCTGGAGGGCCACGTGCCAGTAGTGTAGGGGGCCAGAGGCAAAAGGCAGGGAGAACATCTGATGTTACCTCTGCACAGTGTGGGAACTTCTGTGTACTTTTAACATAGGGCCCTAAGGAATTTAGATTAGCCTCAACCAGAGCCAGGGCCTTTTCAACACTGGCCCCGGCTGGGACTCATGAGACCAGGGCCCTGCAGGATCTGATTTCTTTCCGCATTTCTGGCCTTTGGCTTGGAATCTATTTGATTCCCTCTTTCTTTTTTCCTTTCTCCTCCTGTGATGGAATTCCTATTTGGGGACTTCCCTGGCTTTTTTCCGGCCCAAGTAGGACCAATCTGGATAGTTAGCCTTGGTGAAGATTTGACGTTTTCATCCCCAAAAAAGTTTTGATTTGATTTGAGTTTCTGTTGAAATGAGGCTGCATTTTAATGTTTGAATGTTGTCTTTTAATCTTGTTTTTAAGTTGTATTTCAATCAATTTGTTTTTATATCGGTTGTTAGCCCGGTCTTGGCTGGGGAGGGCGGGGTATAAATAAAATTTATTATTATTATTATTTCCCTTTCTACCCTGAATCTAGGAGAACAAGAGAGAACAAGCATTATCAAGAGTTCACAGCCAGGGCCGGTGAAGGGTGTGGTCTGGGGAGAGAAATCCCAGGGGCCAGATAGAGGCCTGCATTTGGACCTAAGGTTTCAGACCCCTGCACTAGATGATTGAGCCTTCAAGGACCTTTGGTCTTATTGGTACCCCTTCTTCCTTGGTTTGAGGCAAACCATAGTTTGCTGTCTTGTCATAGCTTGCACCTGTCTTGCTAACAGTGCTTAAAAACCTCATTTCTTATCTTAGCTTGGTATAAATAATAAAGTTGTTATTATACAATAGTTGCTGGTTGGGACAAAATTGCACACTGGTTTGCCTCAAGCCAAGGGAAGGAACCGCCATGTGTTGAGGGGGAAGCACTGAACCTGTAACTCGTTGAAAGCTCAGTTTCACGGCCTGTGAACTAGCTTGCAGAAGTGTCTTGAGAATCTTTTCTGGCTTGTTTCTCTATTTTTCATACATAGCTGTGAGAGGTGCCCAAGGACAATGTTCTGAAACACCAAACCCCCCAATACTGTGAGAGGGGAATTGCCTGCTTGGTCTCTCTCTCTACAAGGACAGCAAAGCCTAAGACCAGGCATAGGCAAACTTGGTGGTCCAAGACAGAATGAAGGCCTAGGCTGTGGGTGGCAGAGGAAACACTCTGCCCAGGCTGCTTTTCTTGACAGTGTCTCCTTGTTACTCCAGGTGTTCTGGGCATTAAAGTGAAAATCATGCTTCCCTGGGACCCAAGCGGGAAAATTGGCCCCAAGAAGCCCTTGCCAGACCACGTCAGCATCGTGGAGCCCAAGGAGGAGATCTTGCCCACCACCCCCATCTCGGAGCAGAAAGGCACAAAGCCAGAACAGCCCCCCATGCCGCAGCCCGTCCCCACGGCATAAGGGGTGAGTCACGTTGCTTTATTCCTCACGGGCTTTTGGGAGAAAACGTTGGGGGTGAGCCGCAGTGTAAATAATAATAATTAATAATTTATTATTTATACCCCGCCCATCTGGCTGGGCTTCCCCAGCCACTCTGGGTGGCTTCCAACAAAATATTAAAATACAATAATGCATCAAACATTAAAAGCTTCCCTAAACAGGGCTGCCTTTAGATGTCTTCCAAAAGTCTGGTAACAGCTGTTCTTTGACATCTGGTGGGAGGGCGTTCCACAGGGCGGGTGCCACTACCAAGAAGGCCCTCGGCACTGGACCTCAGTGTCCGTTTAGAACGATGGGGGTGGAGACGCTCCTTCAGATATACTGGACCGAGGCCGTTTAGGGCTTTCAAGGTCAGCACCAACACTTTGAATTGTGCTCGGAAACGTACTGCACTTCTTGGCTGCATGTTGCTGCTAGTGTTTCGTAGAGGGCAATCAGTGTATTTAATGCTTTATAACTGCAGCCCACCAGATGTTGCGGGACTACAACTCCTATCATCGCTCACCACTGGCTTTGTTGGCTCATGGGAGCAGGAGTCTGTCAACCTCTGGAGAACTACAGGTTCCCTGTACCTGCTTTACAGGGATAAAACAACGCAGGCTGTTGCCCCAGGGATTGTGTTCATGGTATGGGTATTAGCTCCCCACTCACTAATTCTTCGGTTTCTGTTGCAGGTTTAAAAACATCTGGAACAAAGAGTTTGGCGTCTTGTACAAATATCTCTTTAATAAAATCAGAAAAAGACAACATGCTGGAGGTTGTTTCTGTTACCTGCTCACCTTACTTTTTTTTGCCCGCTCTGGGACCTAAATCCTGGCCAACCAATATCTGAAACTTTCTAGTTTTGTTCCCTGTTGATACCCCAGCTCAGATTTAACCATTGAGTCACCCATGTGTTCAAAACGTTCTATGAACATTCTCATTAGCACCGACCTCGATCATCTTCAAGCTGAAGGGATAGTGATTTTGCTCTCCCCCGTTGATTACAGCTGCTGTTTATTTGCTGCCCCTTTTTCTGTAGCTGTTTGAGATTCCAACCAACCAGAAATTGCATTCTAGCTGTGTCCCAGCACTGTTTATATGCTGATGTCACTAGCACAAGCAAAGTCCATTGGAGGAATACTTCCTAGGTGTTAGCAACACGAGCAATCCTAGCTCATTGAGATCAATGTATGAATCAAAGCAATTTCTTAATCCTTTTGCGGCAATCCCTGTAAAACCGATAGCAGCAGAGAAGGGGTGGGAAACTTGAATTAGCCTGACTCCTCAGCGAAACACCTGCCGCCATTTTGACTTGACACTCATTCTCTTGCAGCAAAGTGTCTTTGTGTGGAATGCGCTTGTTCAAGGTGCCAACTAGCCAGTCATGCCTTAGTTAATGCAGGTCTGGCTGAACATCCTGCCAAATTTTCTGATTTTCAGTCTGCATTGTGTGACCACTGAGCGTGCGCTGTTCTCATTGGGGTGTTTTCCACTTCTAATTTATTCCTTTTTGTATTTCTGTAAATTTTGAGGATCCCCCAAGCCTCCTGACACCTCCCTTATTGTGGGGGGATAGTCCTATTTGGCTGTGGAAGGATTTGCATGGGCAGAGGAGGAGGTGTGTGCTATTTTCACACCCCACCCAGGCAGAGGTTGCCATTGCTATGCAGATCTTGAGACTGGCTGAGAACCCCTTGACTTGCTTAAGGCTAGCAGGTGAGGCAAGATCGAAGCCAAGCACACTCCGCAGAAAGCTTTTGTGTGTGCTGCAGTATCTAGGACCCCCAGCACAACAAATACTTTAAGAAACAAGTTGGAACTGCTGCCTGGAAGTCTCAAAAGGTGCTGCCCAGCCTGTCCCAAGTCTTCCCTTGATTGGGGCTGCTGCCTTGCGTCGCTTCCCTTCATAGGGCAGTAGCCCAATGCTTTGTGCACAAGTGGGGGCAGCGTTCAGCACATGAACCATGTATTGTGTGCAATTCAGTCCCACGGGAAATAAGTTTGCTGCCAACGGGGAATAAGAAAAATTCATGGCGTATAAGGTTCTTGCCTCCTGTCAAACAAAACCAGAGAAGCCTCAATACCAGCTCCTTGTGTTCTTTTTTCCCACTTGGCTAAAATGTGTTCTTGAATTGTGACAAGACCTTTGGGTGGATTGGGTCCTCTGTGTGTGTGTGTGTGTGTGTGTGTTGCTGTATACAGAAATGCTTTTTGGTTTTCCTGTGAAAGCCAGATCTGCTTCACTCAAACTAGCATGTGGCCCACAAAGTTTCCCTTGAGATCAGGTGTCCCTCTGGATCATGGGTAGGCAAACTAAAGCCCGGGGGCTGGATCTGGCCCAATTGCCTTCTAAATCTGGCTCGCGGACAGTCTGGGAATCAGTGTTTTTACATGAGTAGAATGTGTGCTTATATTTAAATGCATCGCTGGGTTCTTTGTGGGGCATAGGAATTCGTTCATATTTTTTTTCCAAAATATAGTCCGGCCCCCCACAAGGTCTGAGAGACAGTGGATTGGCCCCCTGCTGAAAAAGTTGCTGACCCCTGTGTCTGGATGAAAATGCCAGGAAGCATCAATGCTCCTGAACACCACTAGCTAGAAACCAATTGTGCTCTTGCTCTCGAATCCAGAGTTTCCCATAATGGGCACCTGGTTGGCCACTGAGAGGAGAGGATGCTGGAACACATTTGTAGCTCAGTTGGTAGAGCATGAGACTCATAATCCTAGGGTTGTGGGTTTGAGCCTCACATTGAGCCAAAGGATTCCCTGCATTGAGGGTCTTAAGGTGGTCCGCCTGTGCTGTAAAGTAAGAGTTAGTGTGTTCTGGATAATGCATGTGAGAGCTGAGATCCAAGCTTCAGGCTTGAGATTTTTAAAATGGTGTGGGACTAAACTCCTTTTAAAGGAAGTGGTGATTAAAAATGTCAACTAGAATCAGGAACAGAAGAGCCTGGCTGGCTTGGAGCAAATGATTGCCTAGTTTAGTTCCCTGTTGCCAATGGTGTCTCCCAAGCAGCATACAGTGGTACCTTGGTTGTCAAACTTAATCCGTTCCAGGAGTCCATTCAAAAACCAAGACGCAGTTTCCGATTGGCTGCTGGACCTTCCTGCATTCAAATCTGAAGCTGCGTCGGACTTTCGGCATTCAAAGAATGTTTGTAATCTGGAACTTTCGGGTTTTTGGCGTTTGGAAACCAAAACATATGTACCAAGGCATCCAAGAGCCAAGGTACAACTACTGGGTCATCTTGGGAGTGGTGGATGATGAGGAATTAGGTGGCGGCGGCAGCTACCCTTGGCAGGTCCTACAAAACATGGTTGAGGGGCCTGCTATCTTGACGCTGGACTCAACTCATCAGCCCCAGCCACCATGACACATGGTGAAGAACGATAGGTGCTTACTGCATCAGTTTATGGAGCGACAAAGCATCGGCTTTGCACATAGATGGCTTCAGTTAAGGCCACCGGAGAATGCTGGGGAGCTGCTGCCAACCCGTGTGGGCAGTACTGAGCTAGCTGGACCACTGGCCTAAGTAGGAAGCATCTTCCTATGTCCATCCCCCTGTTGTCATGGGCTTTGAAGACACTCGAACTCAGGGCGCAAGGGAGAAACGTGCTAGGAGGAAGGCACGCTTGGCAAATCCACACCGTGATCAACTCCCACCCAGAAACCAATGTCCCCACTGTGGAAGGATGTGTGGATGCAGAATTGGCCTCCGCAGTCACTTACGGACTCCCTGTTAAGACCGTGTTTATGGAAGACAATCTTACTCGGCTACAAGTGATCGCCGAAGAAGAATAAACTGCATCAACACACAGTATTCATAGATCTGTAAGAAATATGGGAAATATGTGGCCTGCGTTGGAAATCTCGTAGGACCTGCAAGCCTCGAGAGTTTGATGACTTACGCATATGGCAAGAGCCACCCTCCTGCTAAATTCAAGGGCTTTAGGACGAGTCACCGAAAAATATTTTATTGCAAAAAAATCGTACGACAAAGGTTTTGTGCGACCATAGAAAATAAAGGCATCTGATACTTGCATTCACATAACACAAATCAATCATCTCACAATTGCGCTTTGCCCTGTTCTCTTCCCCACCCAGACCCTCTTCCCAAAGTGTATAATAGCACCAGGATTCAGTGTGTGAATTGTTCACTGTAAGGCCCATGTTTTGTGTCCATTGCCCTGCGCCCACCCTCCTCTGGGCTTATTCTTGGCATTCTATCTTTTTTGGCACCCTAAATGCTTCCTTGCCTTACTACGCAAATGCTGTTAAGAAGGGCCAAGAGTTGCCAACGTTAACTCCGGTAAAAGGGAATGTTAACAGTGGGGAGCCTCAGCACAAAGGGAGAAAAAGAAATGGGAAGGTTAATGGCAAGGTTAAGGTAAAAAGATAAGGCGCCCATTGCTTCAGCTGCTCGTTCCTTCTATGATGGATGTAGCCTCTTAGGAGGAAAAGCACCAGTTAGTTACTAAGGGGACATTACAGGAGTTGGGAGGGACGTGGTTGTCTGGAAACACAACTGGGGACCAGAGTGGTTTGTTATGTAACCCATCACAAAGAACCGGAATCATGTTTCCCCTTCAGAAAATGTCCCAACTAAAAACAAAGTGGGCTTTTCAGCTGACAAAAGGATGCACTAATGAGAAATCCTTTTAATTCACCCCTCCCAATGACTACTTGGTCTTATAAGTAACGGGTACGAACTCAGAATTTCACCTATTAGTGATCAAATATTGTGTGTAGCTGGTTGTACCCCTGTTTCACATTCAACAGCAGCAAAAACGCCTACAAATTAAAAGGATCTCTCGCCGGGCAATGGATGCCACCCTGATAGGGATATGCTCATGAACAACGAAATTTGGGAGCTGTTTCCCCCTTTTGGTGCCAGGGCAGGTCTTAAGAGGATAAGGTGTAAAGCGTCAAAAAGTGGTTTCTCGTGGGGATGGCTCCCTGACCCAAACTCCCCGCTGCTTTACGACCTCCAATATTTTTTAGTGAGTTAATGGCATGGGTGCACCAGTTTGTAGAAGATAAACCATATTCCCCCCATTTTAAAAAAATAAAACGCAACCCAACGCGAATGGCATATTTGGGCTCACACGCTACAATTCATCACGCATCTTGTCTCCTTTGGGCCTCACTAGTCGGCCAATGAAAAGGATGGAGTTGGTCTTATTGTCTTTGATCAGGAAGAAGAACGGGTGATCTGCGTAGAAGAGCTTTGGGTTTTTCATCTCTTCCCGGGCGTAGATGTCGCCTTCAAAGGGGTTCCCCTCCGTGTCCCACTCAAGGGCCGCAGCGTGGAAGACATTGGAGAGGTAGAGATCCTTCTTGCCCGAAATCTTAGAAAGGTCAGCCTTGTTTTTGTCGACGGCTTCTGTTAGGCCAAGATCAGCCAAATGTTTCTGGAAAACGACGGCACATATATATTACATTCTAATGGATTGTTGAATATTGCTTTACAGTGGTACCTCGGTTTATGAACTTAATCCATTCCAGAAGTCCGTTCTTAAACCAAAGCATTCTTAAACCAAGGTGTGCTTTCCTATAGCAACGGGGGGCTCAATTTACAAATGGAACACACTTAACAGGAGCGGAACATGTTCTGCTTCCAAGGCAAAGTTCACAAACCAAAACACCTACTTCTGGGTGGTGGCAGCGTTCTTAGTCCAAGTTGTTCATAAACTAAGCTGTTCTCAAAGCAAGGTACCACTGTATTTGACCTGTTGTTACTGTGACTTTTTTTTTTGTACTGGATCGGACTCTTATTTGTGATCTTTCCTGTCTGATTCATCGTTTCTTCAGCTTACAAACCACCTTGTGCATAGTAACATACAAAGGTGGTATACAAATTATAATATATATATATTTGAAAACAATGCAATTAGTCAAACATTTTGCAATACACATTCCCTTGGTAACCGACTTCCCTTCCACCCTTCCATGGTTTCCTCAAATTATCTATTACTGCTGCATATTATAATTATTTAAGACCTTCTTTCCTCCACCATATTCTCAGAGTAACTTTGACTGATGAGCTTACTCCAAATCTGCTAGCATTTTAACTCACACACACACACACACACACACATAGACAGAGAGAGAGAGTCAGAGTCGTACCTTGGAAGTCGAACGGAATCTGTTCCAGAAGTCCGTTCGACTTCCGAAACCAAAGCACGGCTTCTGATTGGCTGCAGAAGCTTCCTCGAAAGCCGCACCGAAAACCAAGGTACGGCTGTTATATAATCTACAAATGTTTTCCAATCCTCCTTGAAGGCTGTCTTGTCTTGTCCTCCAGTTTTATGAGTTTAACTTGCAAATTCGCCATACAGTGGTACCTCTGGCTACATACTTAATTCGTTCCGGAGGTCCGTTCTTAACCTGAAACTGTTCCTAACCTGAAGCACCACTTTAGCTAATGGGGCCTCCCACTGCTGCCGCCGTTGCACGATTTCTGTTCTCATCCTGAAGCAAAGTTCTTAACCCGAGGTACTATTTCTGGGTTAGCGGAGTCTGTAACCTGGAAGCGTATATAACCTGAAGCGTATGTAACCCGAGGTACCACTGTACTCCCATCCATTTCAACTTCCGCTCTTCTTTCATATGCCATTTGGGGGCATCAAGTACCCTCCTCATGGCAGTAGTTGCATACAGAGAGAAATTCCTTTGATTCTAGTAGTGTACAAACGAAAAGCAAAATGCAATGCAATGGTGGTACTCACATGCAGATCGTGGCTGACTTCCAGGCTGACCTTGGGCAGGGAGATGGCGACGGCTCGCTGCTTCATCTTCCCCAGCCAGACCTTCAGCTGTTCCCGGGTCAGCAGCTTCTCCAGCCTCTCCAGCGGCTCCACATGGTTGGGCATGATGAAGATCATGCTAGACAGCTTGTGTGCCAGAGGCATCTCCACCATCTGCAAGTTCTCTGCCTCGTCATTGAAATAGTTGTACAGCCCTGCGGAAACAAGGGGGAATGAGTCAGCGGCTGCAGGGAGACAGGCGAGGGGCGAAGCAGGCAAGTGCACAGCGGCACATCGATGCAGATCACACTATTCTTCTCTGGCACTAATATTTATTGGGTTTCTATGGAGGCAAGGCAAGGGAGGCGGGTGGCGCTGTGGGTTAAACCACAGAGCCTAGGACTTGCCGATCAGAAGGTCGGCGGTTCAAATCCCCACGACGGGGTGAGCTCCCATTGATCGGTCCCTGCTCCTGCCCACCTAGCAGTTTGAAAGCATGTCAAAGTGCAAGTAGATAAATAGGTACTGCTCCGGCGGGAAGGTAAACGGCGTTTCCGGGCGCTGCTCTGGTTTGCCAGAAGCGGCTTAGTCATGCTGGCCACATGCCCGGAAGCTGTACGCCGGCTCCCTCGGCCAATAAAGCGAGATGAGCGCCGCAACCCCAGAGTCGTCTGCGACTGGACCTAATGGTCAGGGGTCCCTTTACCTTTACCTTTATGGAGGCGAGGCAAAACAGTACCGAGAACAAGGGGAAAAATTAAGCAACTTAAGAGCAGTCATGCCACTTAGGATCAGGATTAGGGCTGGCCAATGTCTGTTTTTCAACATCGTGATAGATCACCAGCTAAACATCACAATGTAAACCACTTATAAACGCCATCTCCAACTCCTCGAAAGATTCCATCAACGGTGTCTCCTTAAAAAATTACACATCACCTGGGAAGACAGGCGAACTAATGCCAGGGTAGTGGAAGAAGCAAACATGACCAGTGTTGAAGCAATGATTCTTCAACATCAACTTCGTTGGACTGGTCATGTTGTGCGGATGCCTGATGATCGTCTTCCAAAGCAGCTACTCTATTTTGAACTTAAAAATGGAAAGCTTAATGCTGGTGGTCAACAAAAGAGGTTTAAAGACTCTCTCAAAAAATGCAGTATAAACACTGACAACTGGGAAACACTGGCCTGCGAGCGCTCCAGTTGGAGAACAGTCTTTACCAAAGGTGTCATGGACTTTGAAGACACTTGAACACAGGACAAATGGGAGAAACGTGCTAAGAGTAAGGCATGCTTGGCAAATCCACACCGTGATCAACTCCCGCCCGGAAACCTGTGTCCCCACTGTGGAAGGATGTGTGGATCCAAAATTGGCCTCCACAGTCACTTATGGACTCACTGTTAATATTGTGTCTATGGAAGACAATCTTACTCGGCTATGAGGGATAGCCAAAGAAGACAAAGACTATGACTGCATCGATGGCATGTTGCAGAAGATACCCACAAAACACCCACCTGGAGGGACCCTACATTCCATCTTACTTGGCTATGAAGGATCACCAAAAATACTGATATACCACGAAGTCTGAAATAAGGATGGAGCCACGCAGAGGCGAATGAGGCCATGTCCTAGAAAGTGTTAGCAGTCTAAAACTGAAGCTTTTCCAGCCAAGAATGAGGCCGGGCTCCTTTTCCAGGCTCTCTTACCGGTGCGGTGCATCATGGGAATGCCAACCGTGTAGGAACGCGTCACCATAAAGCCACGATTGTCCACCATCTTGTGATGGAACCTTTCGTCCCAGTGAGCTGTGGAAGGAGATGAAGCAAGGCCGGTTTAACAGCAGGACAGACCAGTTTGTTGTATCTCACGCATCTGATTCAATTGCGCGTGCCCCCCCCCCCGGCCACAATTCAAAGAACACACAGCTGTTTCTTGCTTTGTAGCTGCGGTTTCAGGCCTTTCAAGAAGCCAAACCCAGAAGCAAGGAACTTGCACAAAACACAGCTGCCGGCATTTTGACTGGCACTTGCAGGCAATGCTATTTAACACTATTTAACACTATTTATTCTGTGCCGTCTTTACATTAGCAGGCCAAATCCAGGGTGCTGATATTAATATACAAAGCCCTTAGAAGCTTGGGATTGAGGTATTTATCTGAGCGCCTCTCCCCGGGCCAGCCAGCTTGCACCTTGAATGGATGCCCTTTCAACAACAGGTGTTGCTCACTGAATGGTGACTCAGAACAGGGCCTTCTCTGTAGTGGCACCCACAGTTATGCAACTCCTTTCCCCTAAAAGGAACCAAATGCCACCACACTGTTGACGTCTCATTTTTGCATGTGCCCAAAGCCCACATTGAGAGTACAGTGGTACCTCAGGTTAAGCACTTAATTTGTTCTGGAGGTCTGTTCCTAACCTGAAACCGTTCTTAACCTGAAGCACCACTTTAGCTAATGGGGCCTCCCGCTGCCGGCGCACCGCCGGAGCACGATTTCTGTTCTCATCCTGAAGCAAAGTTCTTAACCCGAGGTACTATTTCTGGGCTAGCGGCGTCTGTAACCTGAAGCGTATGTAACCCAAGGTAACACTGCCAATCTCTCATTACAGCCCTTTACCAATTGACTGACATTCCTCTGTTGCTGATACTTTCACTATATCTTCCATTTTATTTATATTATTTCGGTTATCTTAACGCCGCCAGCGTTTTCAGCCGTACGTCATTATTTCCCATATATTGAATAAACATTTTCCAACCTTCTCTAAGCGCATGTTGTTCTTGTTCTCTTATTCTACACGTTAAGTCTGCAAGCTGCGCATATTCTGTCAACTCAAGTGGCCATTCTTCTTTGGTTGGGACCTCGCTCGTTTTCCATTTCAGAAACCCTTGTTTTCATCCAGTAGGGCTCTTTCTGCTGGCTGAACAATTCCACCACTCCTATCTGGATCCCACATGCTCAGCAAGAGCTCAGGGCTTGCACCCCAAAACCACCCTCCCCGCCGGCTTCCACTTACGTTTGAAGAACATGGCGTTGACGATGAGGGCTCCGTCCGTCTTCTCCACATCCTTGGTGACCTCGGGCAGCTTGCCGTCGGTGGTCTGGGAGGCCCACTCGTTGATGGACTTGAGGGCGCTGCGCTTGTCCCGGAAGTTGATCTTGGAGTGCTCGTAGTTGTAGTGCTTCTTGCTGCTCTTGACGAAGTCGTCGGCGAAGCTGATGGAGCTGGGGCCGTATAGGCGGCTGCCCATCTTCCAGGTGACGTTGCGGGCCGTGGAGTTGCTGACCTCGCTCAGGAGCTCCGAGAGGCCGCTGTGGACGTAGTCGTCGTTCAGCTTGTCGGCGCTGAGCAGCGCCTTGGCCTGCGAGGCCGTGGTGGCCTTGCCGCCCAGGGACACCAGCCCGAGAGAGGATGCCACCACCACCGGAGACACCAAGATGTTCTCCATGTTCTTCTCCTTGGCCATGGCGTGGTAGAGGTTGAAGGCCAGGGTGGCGCTGCGGTCGGCCAGGGCGGCTGCCTTGTCGCTCAGCTTCTTGTCTCCGGAAGAAGCCTTCTTCTCGCTCTTCTTCTTGTCCTCCGGGGGAACGGCAAGGACCAAGGCGCAGAGCGCAAGGAGTCGGATCATCCACATGGTGGCTGCCATGGACGCTGGGAACCAGCTGAGCCTGCAAGGAAACAGAAGGCAAGGATCAGCGAGGCTGAGCGGTCCAGTTTCCCTGTTCCTTCTCCAACCAGGAGATGTATTCTATGGGTAAAGAAAACCACCAGCGCTGGAAGGGCCTATGTAGGGAAGGGATGTTACTTAGTGGCAGGTGTAGGGGCAATCAATGAGTTTAGTGATCTGACATGGTCTTTTCTTCCTGCCTGTGTTTACTTCCCCTCTATCTCTTGTTAAAGCTATGGTTTTCCCAGTAGTGATGTATGGAAGTGAGAGCTGGACCATAAAGATGGCTGATCGCCGAAGAATTGATGCTTTTGGATTATGGTCTGGAGGAGACTCTTGAGAGTCCCATGGACTGCAAGAAGATCAAAATTATCCATTCTGAAGGAAATCAGCCCTGAGTGCTCACTGGAAGGACAGATCCTGAAGCTGAGGCTCCAATACTTTGGCCACCTCATGAGAAGAGAAGACTCCCTGGAAAAGACCCTGATGTTGGGAAAGATGGAGGGCACAAGGAGAAGGGGACAAACAGAGGACGAGATGGTGGGACAGTGTTCTCGAAGCTACCAGCATGAGTTTGACCAAACTGTGGGAGGCAGTGGAAGACAGGAGTGCCTGGCGTGCTCTGGTCCATGGGGTCACGAAGAGTCGGACATGACTAAATGACTAAACAACGACATCGCTTGTTCTGCTCTTTGATGGCTGAGAGTAGCCTTTAATGTGTCATCTGGTGGAAGGAAGAAGCGATAATGTTGGCTACCTTTTGACCTTCTTTGATGTACAAGCATTGGGAAGAGGGTGACTAATGAACAACCTGCATGTAGTGACTAATGAATAAACTTCAAACCAGAGGCATATTGACTGGGTATGATTGATGCGGACTTTCCTAATCAATTTCAGGATATCTTTCTCTATGCAACGGTGGCAGCGAGGGTTCTTATAGCCACAATGTGGAAAAGTAAAAAAGCTCCCTCAAGACAAGAGTGGGTCCAGAAAATGATTGACTATGCTGAGTTAGACAGCCTATCTGGAAAATTAAATAAAATTTTATTTTATTTTATTAAGGAAAGAATTTATTTCAAAATAGGAAGCATTTAAAATATATTTGAAAATTAATAATACTGACTTAAAATCCATTGCGGCATTTGAATACCAGCAATATCGTTCATTAGGTATATGATATAATACATTTTGAACTGATTTGAGACTATAGCAATAACGTGTATTGGCAGCAAAGAATGGTAATTAGATTTATGGAGTAGATGGGAAGTCGGATTTAAAAGGAAGAGATCATTACCGTTCATGGATTATGGAATTTATATGAATTCTTTATGTAATGTGCAACTGATGGTATTCTTATTATGGTGTAATATGTCTTTTTGTTGTTGTTATGTGTTGAGCAAATAAAATTTAATTTTTTAAAAAATAAATAAAAATAAACTGCATCTAGGCAGTTGGACAAGCCGTACAGGCTAGCTATCAATAATCTATAAATCAGATGGTTTTGGGACATAGTTCTGAGAAGCTTGTGCATGGACTGATGGCCGCAGGGCCGTGCAAACAAAGGCCACCTGGCAGATTGATTCACCACTTCTCAAGGGCTTCCCAGTGGCAGATCAAAGTGCTTGCTTGGTAATGTACCGTATTTTTCGCTCTATAACACGCACCAGACCATAACACGCACGTAGTTTTTAGAGGAGGAAAACAAGAAAAAAAATATTCTAAACGAAATAGTGGATATATGATTTTTGTGGTTCATGCTGTGGCCACAGACATGTGATCTGACAGTGAGTTTGGAGTAGCCCAATGCAAAAATCCTGAGGATCCATGTGGATCCATGCTTTGTAACCACGGAGGAGGGAAGGAAGGGGAACCATGGATCCTCTGCTCACGACTGCAGCAGATCCCCCCCGCCACCCGCAGGCATTTGCTCCATAACACACACAGACATTTCCCCTTACTTTCTAGGAGGAAAAAAGTGAGTGTTATGGTGCAAAAAATACGGTATATAATGCTTGCTGTTTAGAACAGAATCTTTAATCTTCTCACTCACTTGTGCTTGTATTGCTTCTGAATCTCATTAAAAAGAACCACCTTGCATTTGGCAAGACAGCAGGACACCTGCCCTGCATGCAGAAGGTCCACGGTTCCATCCCTGGCATCTCCCGCTAGGGATAGGAATGTCCCGTCTGAAATCCTGGAGAGCTGCTGCTGCCAGTCTTGAATTGACAATATAGAGGTCCATGAATCAGCAGCGCGGCTCAGTGTAAAGCCGTATCTGGAATGCTGCATGTGGTTCTGGTCTCCCCATCTCAAAACGGTGATGGAAAAGTGGCTGGGGTGTTTTTAATGCATTGTTTCAAGGGGGCCTTTTTTGTTCCAATGTAGGTTTCTGTTTGGTTGGTTGCAAGCTGCTGCAAATCACCTTTGGCCAGTAAATAGTAAGAGGTGCAAAACAAGGACACGTCCCTGCCAAGGAATCGAGTTGAACTCCAGTTCCCATCAGGCATGTCGAATGGCCAGGGATGATGGGAGCTGTAGTCCAACCATATCTAAAGGGCCACTGGTTCACCATTCCTGCAAGTATTTAGGGCCATCAGGTTAGATAAAAGGAGGAATATGAAGGAGGTTTGCAGAGTCCTGCATGCTGTGGAGGAAAAGGACAGACATTGGTTGCAATCTCCAAATGTCAACATGCAGCTATTTGCACTTCCTTGTAGGACCCACCAGAGGGAGCTTTCGGATTCTGAGAAAGTTTGAGTATTTAACGGTCGTCCCCCACCCAAAAAAATCGTATCACAATCTTATTCCTCCCTTTAATTAAAAATGTGATGTATCCACTACTCTCCCCGCACCTGAAAAAGCTTCGTTTCAGCATGCAAAAAAATTAAAAATTAAAAAAAATTCTGCACCAGCTGTTATTCTGGGAAATACCGTATTTTTTGCTCTATAAGACTCACTTTTTCCCTCCTAAAAAGTAAGGGGGGATGTGTGTGCGTCTTATGGAGCGAATGCAGGCTGCGCAGCTATCCCAGAAGACAGAACAGCAAGAGGGTTTGCTGCTTTCACTGCGCAGCGATCCCTCTTGTTGTTCTGGCTTCTGAAATTCAGAATATTTTTTTTCTTGTTTTCCTCCTCCAAAAACTTGGTGCGTCTTGTGGTCTGGTGCGTCTATAGAGCGAAAAATACGGTACTTCTGGCTGAATGGTGTTAATTATTTACTTTAATCCCAGAGCACAGACTCAGGCAGCAAGGCAACGGGCAGCCCCTCCCAGAGGTAGGAGAGATTCTCTTGTGACTCCACATCAGGGCTAACTGAATGTTCCCACTAAAACATCTGCACCACATCTGTCCCAAATCCAATCTCCGGCTACATCCCATAAAATCTACGACCGCTCGTGAGGCCAGATGAGGCCGATGGGACTTGGAGTCCAGCGACATGAGGACACCAGCTTTAAGGAAGGCTGGAACAGGTTGTTAAACACTTTGGATTTGTCCGAATTGGCTAAGTGCCTCGATGGTGCAGTATTAATAGCAGCAACTGAACTGCTTGTTGAAGAAGCCTTAATCCCAGATATTCCCACTGGGGAGGAAAATGTCCTTTCGCCAAACCGGAGGGTCGAATCAATGCACAGAGCTGCTGCCACTACTGGGACGTTGTCCTTTTTCTCGATTCAAGAGAGGTTAAAAAGTAGTTTCCGAACGGGAACACAAAGCCAAAAGAGCATAAAAAGAGCTTGCTGGATCAGGCCAGGGACTCATCTGTGGGAAGCCAGCGAACAGGATTTGAGCACAAAAGCCCTCGATTCCTATGGTTTCCTCACATTGCTGCCTCAAACTGTGAAGGCAAGGCACAGCCTTCATGGCCAGTAGCCACTGAGACCCTCTGTGAATTTGTCTGACCCTATTTTATTTTAATTTATTTATTTGGCTTTTCAAATGACAGTTTTACGATCACAACATCCAATATAAAAACGAGATTCCAAAGAATCTCTTGGACTTTTCTCCTCCCCTTTGTGGGTCCTGTTGTTAATAATTTCCTCCTGCATCTTTTATGATAATCCAAATCTTTTACCTCTCCATTGTGTCCAAAATTCACCATTAAACTACAAGTGTTATTCCAATCCTACTAACAATTTTAACGGTTTACAATGGTTTTAAGATAAAATTATAAATCCATCAACTCGATCTGCCATTCTTCTCTGGTCAGGACTTTATCTTCTTTCCATCTCTGTCCAAACCTCTTTTAAAGCCCTCTGAGTCAGTGGCCATTATGACATCTGGCTGGAGCAAATTCTATAACTGAACTTTTGGATTTCAAAAAGTGCCCTAAATGGTATTATTTATCCATCATCATCATCATCATTATTAATATTATTATTATTACAGGGACGCGGGTGGCGCTGTGGTCGAAACCACTGAGCCTCTTGGGCTTGCCGATCAGAAGGTCGGCGGTTCGAATCCCCGCAACAGGGTGAGCTCCCATTGCTCGGTCCCTGCTCCTGCCCACCTAGCAGTTCGAAAGCCCGTCAAAGTGCAAGTAGATAAATAGGTACCGCTCCAGCGGGAAGATAAATGGAATTTCCGTGCGCTGCTCTGATTTCGGTGTTCTGTTGTGCCAGAAGCCGTTTAGTCCTGCTGGCCACATGACCTGGAAAATCTGTCTGCGGACAAACGCTGGCTCCCTCGGCCTGTATAGCGAGATGAGCGCTGCAACCCAAGAGTCGTCTGCAACTGGACTTAACTGTCAGGAGTCCTTTACCTTTACTTATTATTATTATTATTATTATTATTCCGCCTTTCAGCAATCTGGTGCTCTCCATGGAATCTTAGCGCTAGAAGGGACCCAGGGGTCATCTAGTCCAACCCCCGCAATGCAGGAATCTCAGGTCAAGCATCCATGACAGATGAGCATCCAACCTCTGCTTTAAAAGGAAGGAGAGTCCAAAACATCCAGATGTTCCAAAACACCTGGAAGGCACCAGATTAGCAAGGGCCAGTTCAGACAAAACTCTTTTTGAGCTTCCACTCTGCTCCCATTTCTGCATTTTTCTTCCCTGATCCCATCTGGGAGGTAGCCAAGACCTCATCCAGCTGCGCTCTGTGGCACTATGCCAAGGGTGGGGTCTGAGCTATGTACTCTTCATGCAGCAGAATAAACCAAAGCGAAGGAAGTGGGAGAAGCCATTTCCCCCCGCCTCTCCCCGGGACATTCCATGCAGAAAGCGGGGGGGCGGGGCGGAGGGAGAAGAGCCACGCAGGCAGGCAAAAGGCCCTCTGCAATTAACTCCTGGAAATAGCATAGCTTTCCACCGTGGGGTCAAATTATAGTTCCGAGCAATGCAGATAGTTAAAAAAGGTCTTTTTGGTGGCGGTGGTTGGGAGGGAGCAGGGATGGAGATGAAAAAACACAAAGGCTTTTAAAACCAGACATCTTCTTTCTTGCTATATATATTCAGATCTGGTTAGAACCAGTCCCTGGTTAGATCTGGCGGAACAGGATCTGCAGTGTCCACTTCGCGAAAGGCACAGCCTGGAGCAGCGGTTCTCAGCCTGTGGGTCCCCAGATGTTGTTGGACTACAACTCCCATCGTCCCTGAGCTCTGGCCTTGCTAGCTAGGGGTGATGGGAGTTGTAGTCCAACAACACCTGGGGACCCACAGGTTGAGAAAGGCTGGCCTGGAGGGTCACTTTGGATCTCATAGTACTGTACAGCTGGGATTATTATTTTTCTTTTTTGCCCAACACGGGGATCAAACCCATGACCCCGAGCTTAAGAGTTTCATCGTCTTTCCCAATGTGTCTTGAGCAGCTGGTGCCTTTGCAGCTATGCTCCAGCGGCACATTCAGCAGTAACAAATCCCCTATGACGGCTGTAGCTTTGGCCAGCAAAGATTTACTCCTCTGTGGTCCGCAGGGCTAACACTCTCAAACTGCAGCAAAAGCTGGTCTTCAGCGGTTAAGCAAACAGCGTTAGCAGCTGGGACACGACAGACAGGGCCTATAGGGGAATCTCTGGCCCTCTATATGATTGCGCCAAATATGATGACGATGAGTTGTAATTTGAAACATCTGGAGCAGGGATGGTGACATCTTCCAGATGCTGGTAGACTCCATCTCCCAGCAGCCAGAAGTCAAGGAAGATGGGATATGTCGTCCAAAAACATTGGAGGGCAAAAAGGTTTGCTACAGAAGCAAAGTAATTGACTGCTGGGGTTAAACTGCTTGTCTTTGAGAACGTTAAGAGTGAGCTCGCCTGGACTTGCCAGACTGCAGAGCTCTCAGTCTCCAACATAATCTCCCGGTATGCCCTGCGGAGGACCTTAAGGTCCACAAATGACAACACTCTGGAGGTCCCAGGTCACAAAGTGGTTAGATTGGTCTCAACTAGGGCCAGGGCCTTTTCAGCACTGGCCCCAACTTGGTGGAATGCTCTGTCACAAGAGACCAGGGCCCTGTGGGACTTGACATCTTTCCGCAGGGCCTGTAAGACTGTTCCACCTGGCCTTTGGTTTGGACTCAGTCTGACCCTTATGTTTCCCTCACCTTATGGTTTTGATCTATGGGCTACTATTAAAATGAGGCTGCATTTTAAATTGTATTTTTAACTTGTATTTTAAATTGGTTCCCCCCCCGCCATTATGTTTTTATTGTAATTTTACTGGTGTTAGCTGCCCTGAGCCCAGCTCTGGCTGGGGTATAAATAAAATATTATTATTATTATTATTATTAGCTCTGCAGCCAAAAAGGAGGAAGATACAGGAAGGTTTCTACGCCTGTTCTTCACCTGAATCTCCCTCCTGTGTCTGCAGAGCTGTTAAGATGTTCTCCGGGTTGTGAACTGACAACCCAATTATTTACAGACCTGCCGCTCCATCACCCACAAGGTTTTCAGAAAGGAGGCGTCATCGAGGCTCTATATTAGGTTCCCAGCAAAGAAAAGCGTTTTAACTCTCAAGAAGGTGATTTTAGCTTCAATAGGGAAATAAGCATTAGGTGCAGTGATCTGATCAAGGAGGTTGTTGAAACTTTATTTTTTTTTTGCAAAAGGCAGCACTCTTTCAATCGAAAAAGCAATTTTTTGCGTGTTTTTTTTTCATTGGAAAAATGATTTTGGTGGTTCCCCCCCCCCCAAAAAAGCTTTACAATTTTCGGGGTATTCTGGTTTTTACTTTTTGAAATATGGCAATGTTATATGAACAGCTGGGCCAAGCTAGCTATTTTGGATGCTTTTTCCTGGACCAGGTTACCCTGTCTCAGGGCAAGACAGAGTGCTAGCTTTTAGGTGTTATTTCATTTTGGATGTGTGCTGTGACAAGTGTGGAGGGTTTTTGTTTTGTTTTTGTTGTTCTTCTAAAGATACCTTGGAACTTTCTCTTAGTGTGGTCAACGTTTGGCTTTTTCATTCTGAAAAAAAACAAGACAAATCAGACAGTTCCCTCAAGGATCCGAGAACATTTGCACAGAACAGATCAACAGGATTCTTTAGAGATTACAGTTTACATGTCGACGGGCCAGGAAGGAGGAAGGAATCAGAGGACGCTGCTAGCTAGGAGGTTTGGAGCGGTTCCTTTAATTGCAGGAAACAACTTTCTAGACCTCACCGTTCCAAGCGGACTTTGAAATCGGAAGGGGACCAATCACAGAGCGATGCGGCTGCCCCTCTGAAATTCCTGCCTGCAAGCCAATGCCTGGGCGGGCCTCCTCCTCGCTGTTTTGCATAGCCCCTCCCACTTCCACATGGCATAATGTGGATAGGGCTTCCAAGAAAGAGGGTGGGGCCTCAGGGCCAGGTGGGCGGGGCCAGCAGCTGTGGAACTCCCTAGGATTATAGATATGTGGGGGGAAAATAATTTGGGTGCCCTGAGTAACCCTCCTCCTTTTCTCAACCAAACTGATGGTGCTTCGAGAGCAATTTGTGAGATTTGGGGTGGGCAGTCCTGGGATTTCAACTTTTTTCAATCCACCCTTTAGGAAATTAGTTAGCTACCAGCGTTGGAATGTTAAATATGCAATTATAAGCATTTTAGGAAACCGGTTAGCTACCAGCTGTGGAATGCAAAATATGGGTAGAGCTTGTGTTTGCTATGCACTTGAATCTTAAAATGCTGGTGCTTTTCCTCTACTGAGCTGGTGCAGCCGTTACCTGGGAGACTAGGGTTCAAATCTCCACTCAGTCATAAAAAGGTTCCTTGGAGCATTTAAAAAGGTGTGGCAGAAATGAAAGAAATATGTAACATGTTCCAGAAGTGTGCTAAAACTTTCCCCAAGCGAATGGGCAAGCTGGAAAATGCACAAATCGACCTCTGGCATAAAATCAACACTGCATCCTTTGCAGTGTTCCCTTAGCACTACACATAATGAAGCCCCTCCTACGTCTCTGGCTGCCCCCACACGCCACGTAAGCAAGCCCAGGCAAGACCAGAGACCAAGAGAGCTAGCAATGGTATGCCGTACCTAAACCAAAGCCGAGCGCAATCTGCACAAATTACCACTCGGCAAAAAAGCATCTCAGACAAGTATCACCCACTGTTTATTCGGATGCATCACAAAATTTGGGCTTTCGTGGAATTTGGTTTATTTTGGCAAAACATTTTAAATGGAGGGACCGGGGATGGGGAGACAGAGATGGTGAGCTGTACAAAACACACCCATCAAAATGTAAGCCATTGTCCCCAATGTCCTTGCTACACTGTTGAGACTTTCCCACGAGGGCCAGACACTTATTTTTAAAGAGAACCATTTTTGCATTCTGCGTTGGATTTCAGAGTTTGAACGCAAAACGTGACAGTATTTCTCAGGTTACCAAAAGATCCGACCCTCAAAATTTTAAAAAAAACAAACAGATTTTGGGTTTGCAGACAAAGAAACAGTTATGTCACAGCGACTGCATTTTAGCAAAGAGGTAACATTTTGTTAGTTGTACATGAGAGCACAATGCACCTTTTTGAACTGGGCTTTCTTTTACCTTTCTAAGCTTGGCTTATCAGGGCGAACTCTGGGTTCCCACGGCAAAAAGGGAGGATGGGTTTACACTTCTCGTTTCATATCCTAGGCGCACTCCACCACATTGGACCTGAAATAAGTCTGTCCGCTATGATTCTGCAACACCTACCTTTTGTATTTATTCATCCAGAGAGACAAGGGATGAACTGCATGGAATTATTTTTGGAGATTCCAAACCACAAACACTTCACACTGACCAAGATGCTAATTCTGCTCTCTTTGCCCCCCCAGTTAGTGGGGCTTGCAGCTTTAAGCTGTTTTGTTCCCATGCAAGGCACTGATGATGACAACAGGTTTTAAAATATATAGCTATTAAGGGCACATTAAGTGAAAGGAGCTGCTGCCTCCTTGTCCTGTTTTCTGGGTGAATCTGGTTGATTTCTGCGGGAAGCAAGATATTGGACTCCAAAAGACTTTTGAGTCTGATCCAAAAGCACGTCTGTTCCTACCTTTTAAGGCACTTAAACTTCTCTCATGGGATGTGTTTAGCACTGGCGAGATTGTGCCCTCTCTGCCTCTTTCCACTGCTTCTGCCATCCCCAAATATTTAGTGGGTGCCTGCCACTCCTCCCCACATTTGAGACCTTTGGTCATTGGGGGTGGGGAGGAATAACCCGACATTTAACCTGCAACACCCTCCCCCAATCTAGGCACTGAACGCAAAGTATAGTACCACATCGCTACCACCAAAAAAACAAACATGCCTTCTATGGGACCAGGCTTGTATAATCGGGAGCATCCTCCCCCCATCCTTGCAACTCCCCCCCCCCCCGCGGGAGGGGCGGGGGTACATTTCCTCCAGCAATCTTTCCATGCAGTCAGCAGCCGGGAGGAAACCGGAGCAGGCTTAATCCTGCCGGCAAAAGTTGCAGCCAACTAGCTCGCAAGGCCCAGGAATAGCGCTTGGAGGAGGGAGAGAGACGGGGCGGAGGCGGCTGCTGCAGCTCCCCACAAGGAAAAGGGCGATCTCGCGATCCTCCCTGCTCCGCCTGCTCTCCAGGAGATCCCGGGGGTCCCTCTCGGCATCCGCTCTCCAAAGACGAGTCCTAAAGAGAGAGGCACTGAACGCAAAGTATAGTTTTCTAGAGCGCATTCTAGAGCGCAAGATGCGCCCCACTTGAGTTGCAGTCCAACAACATCTGAAGACCCACAGGTTGAGAACCGCTGGACTAGACCAACCTTGGCCTCTGGCTACATCACTGCCAGGAGCCCCCGCCTAACGCATTTCATTGTATAGCCTGGATAACTCAATTTGGTTAGAGCCTGATAGTGCCAAGGTTGCAGGTTCGATCCCTGATTGGGACAGATGCATATTCGTATTTTCAGGGGGTTGGACTAGATGATCCCCAAGGCTCCCTCCAACTCTACAATTCTGTGATCATGGATGGGGAGACCGGAGGCGTTGCATGAAAAAGCCACCTTCCCCAAATAAGGTGAGCTCGACGGCTCACCAACGTGTCTCAAAGGTCCCGCCTGGTGGCGACGGAGGGGGTTTCTTTTGAGCGCACCCCCAAAAAGCCAGCAAATGAATCAGCTACAAAAGGAATGCAGCTTTGCAAAAAGGAGAGGAAACTGATCCCCCTACGCCCCTGCGAAGTTCAAATCCAAGATCAGATCCACCCTGAGCCATAATCCGAATTCACGCCTGGGGCAAGCGGGGGTTAAGGAGGCCACCCCGGCGCGGGCCGTTCTCCTGCCAAAGCCTCGGGACCACGACGGCACGGCTTCTCCCAGCGGGGCTTGCGCAAGAGAACCACCCGCAGGGAACGGACGCCTCGCCGTCCGGAAAGGGAGAGTCGCTTTCCCAAGCAAGGCAGGCTTTCCAAAAAGGAAAGCTCCCCAAACCGGCCTTAAGGTAGCTTCGCGCTTCCTTGGGAAGCAGTCCCGCTGAAGGTCAAGGGGCTTACTCCCGAGTAAGCGGCCACTCGGAGCCGTCAGCGGCGCCGCGCGCGCAAGCCGCGCCGGGTTCCCCGAGAGTTGCGCAAAAAGTCTCCAAAAGGGGCCCCGCTCACCTCGGAGATGGCGCTCGGGCGGCGGAAGGAAAGCCGGGCTTCTCTTTGCGCTTTCTGCGACGCGGCGGCCCGGAGGAGGGGGCTATATAACCCCGCGAGAGAAACTTCTGGAAAGTTGTAAGGGGGGGTTGGAGAGGAAAAAGCGCTCTCCAGCTGCGTCTTTGCAGCAAAGGATGGGGCCCCCCGTCCCGAGCAGCGCTCCTCTCTCCCCACCTCCTGCTGCTCCCTCCCGGCCCTGCAGGGTCCTATAGAGAGTCCAGTTCCCAGGCGCACAGACGTCGCTCTGTCTCCTTTTCCCTCCCACGTCCTTCAAGCTCTCGCTGCAGATCGGCACGAGAAGCGAAGGGTTTCTTGAAACGTTGCAAACGTGAGCTGTTCTCCCTTCCACCCACCACCTCAACCCCCGGTCCTAAGTGGAAAGGCAAGGCAGGAGAAAAAAAATGGATTTTATGCATGTGCTGGCGCTGCTTTGAACTGTCTTTATAGTTATGGAAACATAGGATTGTAGAGTTGGGTCACCAAGTCCAACTTCCTGAAATGCAGGAATCTTTTTGCCCAACGTGGAAGAGGAAGAAGAAGAAGAAGAAGAAGAAGAAGAAGAAGAAGAAGAAGAAGAAGAAGAAGAAGAAAGGAAAGAAGTAAGGAAGGAAGGAAGGAAGAAATTGCACCCACCTGACTGGGTTGCCTCAGCCACTCTGGGAGGCTCCCCCAAAAATATTAAAAGCACAACCATTAAAAACTTCCCGATACAGGGCTGCCTTCAGATATCTTCTAAAGCTTACATGGTTACAGTGGTACCTCGGGTTACATATACTTCAGGTTACAGACTCCGCTAACCCAGAAATAATGCTTCAGGTTAAGAACTTTGCTTCAGGATGAGAACAGAAATCATGCAGTGGTGGCGCAGCGGCAGCAGGAGGCCACATTAGATAAAGTGGTGCTTCAGGTTAAGAACAGTTTCAGGTTAAGAACGGACCTCCGGAACAAATAAAGTTCTTAACCGGATGTACCACTGTACTCATCTCTTTGACATCTGATGGGAGGGCGTTCCACAGGGCGGGCGCCACCACTGAGAAGGCCCTCTGCCTGGTTCCCTGTAACTTTGATTCTCGCAGGGAAGGAACCACCAGAAGGCCCTTGGATCTGGAGCTCAGTGTCCGGGCCGAACGATGGGGGTGGAGATGCTCCTTCAGGTATACTGAGCTGAGACTGTTTAGGGCTTTAAAGGTCAGCACCAGCCCTTTGAATTGTGCCCGGAAATGTTGTTGTTGTTGTTTAGTCGTTTAGTCGTGTCCAACTCTTCGTGACCCCATGGAGCCTCAGCTTCAGGATCTGTCCTTCCAGTGAGCACTCAGGGCTGATTTCCTTCAGAATGGACCGGTTTGATCTTCTTGCAGTCCATGGGACTCTCAAGAGTCTCCTCCAGCACCATAATTCAAAAGCATCCATTCTTCAGCGATCAGCCTTCTTTATGGTCCAACTCTCACTTCCATACATCACTACTGGGAAAATCATAGCTTTAACTATAAGGACCTTTGTTGACAAGGTGATGTCTCTGCTTTTTAAGATGCTGTCTAGGTTTGTCTAGATTTATTCATAAGACAACCAAATATAGATGGTACCCAAATGGAAACATATCAGCTTAAATTATTTCTAATAATTACACATAAACGTAAAACACATGACCTGTACAATAAGCAAAAGGTAAAGGGACCCCTGACCGTCAGGTCCAGTCGTGGACAACTCTGGGGTTGCGGCGCTCATCTCGCTTTATTGGCCGAGGGAGCCGGCATACAGCTTCCGAGTCATGTGGCCAGCATGGCTAAGCCGCTTCTGGCGAACCAGAGCAGTGCACGGAAACGCCATTTACCTTCCCGCAGGAGCAGTACCTATTTATCTACTTGCACTTTGACATGCTTTCGAACTGCTAGGTTGGCAGGAGCAGGGACCAAGCAATGGGAGCTCACTCCATCACGGGGATTCAAACCGCCACCTTCTGATCGGCAAGCCCTAGGCTCTGTGGCAAACTGTAGTTTAAAAACAGAATATTAAATCTTGGGGAGGGGGATGCACACGACAAAATTGTAGAGTTGGAAGAGACCCAGAGAGTCATCTAGTTCAACCCCCAGCAATGCAGGGAGCTCACCCAATTTTCAAACCGTACCAGGCCCTGCTTAGCTTTGCAAAAGGCGCTAGCAGTTTTATTGCTGCGCCACCACACTTCCGTTTTGCCCTTCTATTGGTGAGTTCATTCTATCTACCTACTTAACTGTGTACTGCTTTAAATATATATGTGTTGGTTATTGCTGCTCTCCCCTGGGGAAACCCGGTCTTTAGCGCTGAATTGGAAAGAAAAGGCAATTGGGTTTCCCGTGGACTGTGCTTTAGCCCTGTCGAAACCAAGACAACAGATATTGCATCTCAGCCACATCACTGAGTGTAGCAAGCACCACGAAAAAGGATTCTCAATAGGAATGCCTAGCTCTTTCACACAGTTTACAGAATAGCATACAATGCCTGGCTTCCTCTACCCAGGGGCTGCCTCATAGACAAAAGCAACAGTCTCAGAAAATTCGACTCCATTGCCTGCGAGTGTTTTGCAGAGAAAAGGTGGATTCAAGCTCAGATCGATATTTCTCTTCCCTGGTTTCAAAGTGGGGGGAAGCACTGGAGGAACTAACGGCATCCATGTCTTGTTCTGCAAGCAGAGCTTGGAGTTACTCTTATCAAAAAATAGCTCAAAAAGAGAAAGAGATGTCCTTACATGCCTTCAGTGTTCCTAGGCAGAAGGAAACATCAGGTGGCATAAGAAAAAGAAAGAAAAAAGGATTTTTGCTAGGGGGGAAATGGCATTCCTGAAGAAGCCACAGGAAGCAACCTGAAGGCCATGTCAGATTGTGGCTCATCTAGGCTGGTATTGTCTGCACTGAATGGCAGCTGCAGAAGCTGTTGTTGTTGTTGTTGCACCCACAAAACATGTTCTCCGCAACTGAGCTGCAGACCTTTGATCTATCAAGGTGGACTTGTGAGTGTGGAGACACAAACACCCTGTTCAGATGGAATGATGGCCCCCCAGGTGGTTATCTTGACAAGGGGCTCCCTGTTATGTATTCAGTGATCGGTGTTTGCCTGAGCTTGAGTCTAAGGATTGAGTTGAGTCTAAGAATTGAGCTTGAGTCTAAGGACTAAGGATTCTGAGCTCCTGTGTTCTGATTCGATGCACGATGTCCAATCACAGAACATTTCAGGATTTGGGCCTCTGCCATTGGCCCTTGAACTCTTGAGTTGTGATTTGCAGCTTGGAAGTTTAGACAGCCAATCACGTTGGGAGTGGGAGTGGCCCAGGCTTTCAGGAAAGTATATAAGCAGTTGCTTTGCCCCCCGTTTTCCAGTTATGTAGTTCAATGAATGTTCTTGCTGTTATCACTGTGTCTTGCCTCATGGGAACCCACCTATACTTCACTCCCCAATCACATTGAGTAGGAAAGAGTCACTTAGGGTCCTTCCAGAAGACCCTGTGAATCCATTTTGATTTGTGCGCAAGAAGATTAGAGAAAGAAAGCTGCAGAGATAGTGCAGGATAGTGAACACCCAGGAAATGATCTCTTTCAGCTTCTGCCTTCTGGAAGAAGGTACAGGGTCATAAAGACTAGGACTAGCCGCCTGAGAAACAATTTCTAACCAAATGCGATTTTGGTTTTAAACGCAGTGTAAGGTAGTCTGTATGGGAGTATATTGTATTCAGTTATGGGGTATCAGAGTTTTTAGGGACTAACAAGGTTGGGATAGCTGGGACAGCAGGCTTGTTGGTTTTTGAATGTCTGATGTAGATTTTTTCAGTTTCGTTGTTCTGTATGGGACAATGACAATAAAGATTATTGTATCGTAGATGCTGCCAGCTATTTAATGAACATTCATCCTGACTTGTTCGCAAGGAGGTTCAAAACAATGGTTGCCCCCCCTTCTCCCATGCACCCCTCCCCCATCATTTTTCCTATCACAAAGAGTCTGATCTTTCGGGGAAAGTGGGTTTGTTGCACAAGTCCTCCAATCGCGCCACCCAAATTTAATGGTGCAGGATTGAATCCAACCTGAAGAGAGCAAGTGTCTGGAAGCGTCCCAAGGTGGCAATGGTAGGGTTACCAGACGTCCCGATTTCCTGAGGACAGTCCCCGTATTTGCGAATAAGTCCCCGGACAAATTCCATACCCGGAATGTCCCCGGATTTCATCTAATGTCCCTGGGAAACGCAGCAGCGGCAGTCTCAGCAGCTTGGAGCAGTTGGCTCTGGCTGGCTTCAGGAGCTGCTTGGAAGTCCCCATGTGATGGTGGTGCAGGGACTCTAAGACGCAGCTTCCGGGCTGCCTCCACCTTCCCTGACCCCAGCAACTAAGCTGTGAAGGGAGGCTTCACGCTGCCTATCGGAGCAGCCTCACAACTCCTACTTGCGTGCAAGCGGGGCGGGGATCTCTCAGCTGTGAAGGGAGGCTTCACGCAGCCTATCAGAGCTTGTGTGCAAGCAGGAGGGGGCAAGGATCTCTCAGTTAGGCAAGGGGAAGCCTCCCTTCCCAGCTGAGGGATCCCCACCACCTCCTGCTTGCATGCAAGTAGGAATGGGATTGGGGCTGCTCCGATGGGAAGGGAGGCATCGCGCTGCCCGAGCCTCACCGCCGCCGCTCTCGGCCCTCCTCAAAGGGGAAACATGGCAGTTAAGGTCAAGGCCGCAGCCGCCCCACTGCCACTGCCATCAAACGTGTAGTATGTATGTATGTATTTAAAGTGTCCCCGGATTCATTGAAAAGAATATGGTAACCTTAATGAACCTAACTGCATTCGTATAGGGCCAGAAACTTCCTAGATTCAATTCTTGCAGAGCTGAGCAAGGACCTAAAGCGTGATCTCATCGCAGCTAAATCCTGTTCCTGTTCTTGTTGAGGAGAGAATAAAGCTCTCGTCCAACTTCCTGGCTGGTCTGTCTTCCGAGCTTTGTGGGAGTCGTAAAGCCACGGTAAAGGCTTGTAATATTGCAGGGTGCCCCCTGACCTCGGCTGACCAGCACTCTGAGCTTTACAATGTATTGGAATGTATTGACTTAAATGCAGTTGTGTTTCCTCTGGGCAGTGATTGACCCTATATGGTGAAGGGGGCAATAAAAGCCTTGACCGGATGAGGTAACGTGAGACATTGGCAAACAGCCATGCGGCTGGAGAGAGAGACAAAGGATAATAAAAGAAGCTGCAGGAGGAGAGGGAGGAAAAAGGAGCTGCTCCTACCATCATGAAAATATTGCTGGCTCTCTGTGTTTTTATTTTATGCTAAACTTCGCCATTTGTAACGGCTGGCTCCGACAGAGCTTCCCACGTGGCACAGTCTTCCTGGGACCGGTTGGGAGCGGGTGTCATGTGATCAAATGCTCCCCCGTGCCAAAAACTCCATTACGTTGGGAAACCTGCACGCCCGGGAGAAGCCAAACCAGGGATACAGAACTCATGCGCCAGGCAGGAACTTTTCCCCATGAGGTTCTCTCCCCTGTGGAAAAGGGAAACCCCAACAAATCCCAGTGTTGCTATTGTTGTTTTGCTGCATGAACAGCTTGGGGTGGGTTGTGGGGGTTTTTTGGAATCAGGAACACGGTCCTCTTCCTCTGCATGACCTTACTATCCTGTCTTCCTTCTGGAGTTCTGTCGTTCTCCTTCCAGATGACTGCATTTTTGTGCGCTCCATGTGCCGCCTCCGATGTAATAAATGGTTATTATGGGGAACAGATGAAACAAGCTATTTCGCTCACAGCTGGACACAAAAGATGGGCAATAGGAGGGGGGCGAGGAGACATTCCTGTCTCTCTCATCTGCCATAATACCCATTAGCAAAGGCTGGTTGGAGACTAGATGAGGGAGATATATGGAGATTTTGCTCTCGGTTCATCTGAGGGCAGATTAATTTAATTCATTGGCTTCAAGAATCCATGCACTGGTTCCCAGCCAGAAAGAAGAGCGAATGCAATGCAGTTTACAAAAGAAATCGAACCCTATGAAACAATAGTTTATAACGCAGGTCCCTTCCCAGACTGTCAGTGTCTTCGGCAAATTCAGGCTGCCACAATTATAGGTGATTGGGAGGTCTTCCACAGCAAACCCATGTCCCAAAACAATAGATTTGCAGTAAAGAAAGTGATAGAGAAATTCACTGGAAACCGTGAGGTTAAGTCTTTTAATGCTTAAATGTTTCTTTGAGTGTGCTTGAATCTTCTTGCCACACCAGTGTGATGCTCCACACCCTTTGAGAAGCCCTGCTTTAACTGGAACACATTCTCCCCTGGGGAACATCTGACTGGTACATGCTCTGGTTAACTCCCATTTGGACTACTGAAATGCGCTCTATGTGGGGCTACCTTTGAAGGTGGCTCGGAAACTACAACTAACCCAGAATGCGGCGGCTAGACTGGTGACTGGGAGCAGCCACCGAGACCATATAACACCGGTCCTGAAAGACCTAAATTGGCTCCTAGTACATTTCCGGGCGGTGACAGCAGCCACGAAATTAAAAGATGCCTGCTTCTTGGGAGAAAAGCAATGACAAACCTAGACAGCATCTTAAAAAGTAGAGACATCACTTTGCCAACAAAGGTCCGTATAGTAAAAGCTATGGTTTTCCCAGTAGTGATGTATGGAAGTGAAAGCTGGACCATAAAGAAGGCTGATCACCAAAGAATTGATGCTTTTGAATTCTGGTGCTGGAGGAGACTCTTGAGAGTCCCATGGACTGCAAGAAGATCAAAAATAACCATTCTTAAGGAAATCAGCCCTGAGTGCTCACTGGAAGGACAGATCCCGAAGCTGAGGCTCCAAGACTTTGGCCACCTCATGAGAAGAGAAGACTCCCTGGAAAAGACCCTGATGTTGGGAAAGATGGAGGGCACAAGGAGAAGGGGACGAGAGAGGACGAGATGGTGGGACAGTGTTCTCGAAGCTACCAGCATGAGTTTGACCAAACTGCGGGCAGCAGTGGAAGACAGGGGTGCCTGGCGTGCTCTGGTCCATGGGGTCACGAAGAGTCGGACATGACTAAACGACTAAACAACAACAACAACAAATTAATAAATCTAGAATAGGAATTTAGACGCAACTGACTACAGCTACCCCCCCAACCCCCAGTGCTGCTGCTGCTGCTGCTTCTTCTTCTTCTTCGTCTTCTTCTTCTTCTTCTTCTTCTTCTTCTTCTTCTTCTTCTTCCTCCTCCTCCTCCTCCTCCTCCTCCTCCTCCTCCTCCTCTTCCTCCTCCTCCTCCTCCTCCTCTCTCTCTCTCTCTTTTTAAAAAAACCCTTGCTCTGCAAATTTCTGGTGCAATCGCCTGAAATCTGAGAAATCTGAAGGGGTGTGGCTTTGCAACTCTGCATCTTCCAGCCTCCACCCCCACCCACTGCCACGCTGGACAGTTTGCCGCAAGCCAAGGGGGAACTGGAGCTGAGGAAAGGGGGGGGGGCGACGTACATTTGTGTAAGCATGGAAGGAGAAGTCTCTTTCTCTAATGACAGGCCTCAGCTGCCAAAGGACCCATCTCCTCCTATAGCACATGCCAAGAGACATAAATAAGCAAATCCCTGCTGCACGCACAGCTCCATCTTGCAACGAAACAGCTCCCTGGATCATCTGCAGCGCTTATTCTTAATTTTTGCCACTGCCCTCTTTGCCATTGCCCTGTTATGCTTCTGGATCAGCAACAAAAGCTCCAGGAATTCTAGGATGTGGTTGTGCTAGTTCTGGGGTGGCCAGCCTGATTATTTTATCCCCTGTGCCTGCTGCTGTGCTGTGTTTACCTTGCATACAGTCAAACTTTAATTGCTGCTATCTGTACTTTTTGAATTTGTCTTTCCCTGGATGGCACCGCTGCCTGCGATGAAAGATACTTCATGCATCTGATGAAAGGGACCACAGTCTACAAAAAGCTTATGCCACCATGAATTTGATCGTCTTTAGGGACGCGGGTGGTGCTGTGGTCTAAACCACAGAGCCTAGGACTTGCCGTTCAGAAGGTTGGCGGTTCGAATCCCTGCGACGGGGTGAGCTCCCGTTGCTCAGTCCCTACTCCTGCCAACCTAGCAGTTCGAAAGCACACCAGTGAAAGTAGATGAATAGGTACCGCTCCGGCGGGAAGGTAAACGGTGTTTCCGTGCGCTGCTCTGATTCGCCAGAAGCGGCTTAGTCATGCTGGCCACATGACCCGGAAGCTGTACGCCGGCTCCCTCGGCCAGTAAAGCGAGATGAGCGCTGTAACCCCAGAGTCATCCGCGACTGGACCTAATGGTCAGGGGTCCCTTTACCTTTACCTAGGATACTGCAAAGCTCTCTGTCGTTTTGACTCAATAGGCAGGGATCAGAAAACTTTTTCAGCAGGAGGCCGGTCCACTGTCCCTCAGACCTTGTGGGGGGCCGGACTATATTTTTTTTTTGGGGGGGAATGAACGAATCCCTATGCCCCCAAATAACTCAGAGATGCATTTTAAAGAAAAGGACACATTCTACTCATGTGAAAACACGCTGATTCCCGGATCGTCCGCAGGCCGGATTTAGAAGGCGATTGGGCTGGATCTGGCCCCCGGGTTTTAGTTTGCCTACCCATGCAATAGAGCCTCTGTAACTGACTAGTGCCTGCTTGCTTCACACTGTCCGGTGGCGCAGAAGGCAATTCTTGTCTATTGCCAATGCGCCCCAAGGGAAATTCCTCCTGCGCTCCCAAATGAAAACAGAATGCTGTTATTCTATGCAGAAGACTCCAGTTTGGGTAATGCCAGCTAGGCAAATTCCCCTAATCCAATTGCAAAGGGTGATGCATAATTCAACTCCAAGGGTGTAAAAGGTTCAGGGTTCAGTGTGCAGCTGCCCCATGTGGTGAAATGCGGGACTGCAGGGGCGGGACTTTCTCAGGGAAGAAGCTTCTGGTCCTGAACTGATTCCACCCACCAAGGCTACCATTGGATGTCCCTGGCCAGAAGGGGTATAAAAGGACTTCCTTGGGTCCAGATGTGCCTTCCTTGGACATCAAGAGCTTCTTGGTGGGCTCCATTATCCTTGGTTGCTGTTTGGTCCTTACTATTGCTTCCTCCAGAAACTTTAAAGCCCTAAACAGCCTCGGCCCAGTAGACCTGAAGGAGCGTCTCCAGCCCCATTGTTCAGCCCGGACACTGAGGGCCAGCTCCGAGGGCCTTCTGGCGGTTCCCTCTCTGGGAGAAGTGAGGTTACAGGGAACCAGGCAGAGGGCCTTCTCGGTAGTGGCACGCGCCCTGTGGAACACCCTCCCACCAGATGTCAAGGAAATAAACAACCATCTGACTTTTAGAAGACATCTGAAGGCAGCCCTGTTTAGGGAAGTTTTTAATATTTAATGCTGTATTGTTTTTAACACTCGATTAGGAGCTGCCCAGAGTGGGCTGGGGAAACTCAGCCAGATGGGCGGGGTATAAAAATATTATTATTATTATTATTATTATTATTATTATTAATGGTTTTCAGAGTGCTACCCATTCTCACTAGGTACCCAGAACTCCCTCAACGAGGATTATATTCTTGACTTCCTTCAGATCCCTCCTTGGAACACACCTTTCGCATAAAACGCTCGATTTACGTCTAGTTCCATTGAAAACCGGAGATGAAAATGTCACCTTAAAAAGAGGAATCTTCGTTCTAGAAAAATACAGTGCAGAGCAGGGTGAGGCGGCTGGGGGATATTTTTTTTTCATCTGCTGCTGAAGTGACTTCAGAAATACAGGTCTACTCCTGTTCTGGGGATGCAGGTGGCGCTGTGGTCTAAACCACTGAGCCTCTTGGGCTTGCCGATCAAAAGGTCGGCGGTTTGAATCCACACGATGAGGTGAGCTACCGTTGCTCTTTCCCAGCTCCTGCCAACCTAGCAGTTTGAAAGCACGCCAGTGCAAGTAGATAAATAGGTACCACTGCGGTGGGAAGGTAAACAGCGTTTCTGTGCATTTTGGTTTCCATCACAGTGTCCTGTTGTGCCAGAAGTGGTTTAGTCCTGCTGGCTGCAGGACCCGGAAAGCTGTCTGTGGACAAATGCCGGCTCCCTTGGCCTGAAAGCGAGAAGAGCGCCGCAACCCCATAGTCGCCTTTGGCTGGACTTAACCGTCCAGGGGTCCTTTACCTCACCTTTACACCTGTCCTCATCCCTGACCAACAGCTGTCTGAGGCTGAAGGGTGCTGCCTTTCAAAACTGGGCTGGGCAAGGCTGATCTAGGGACTGAACCAAGTGACACATGTGCGTCCAAATTGTGGGCTCGAACATCCAGCTGTGGCCTCCTCCGCCTGTCACCCAGCTGAGCTCAGTTTCTTCCCGCATGCTCATTGAGATCTCTGCATCTTGGCACCCGGCCCGTGAGAACAGGAAGGGTTCCCAATTCTCACCACCCACATGCTGCAGAAAGCGGATGCCTGCTTTAGCTGACTGTCCAGATGTTGAACTACAATTCCCAGAATCCCTTGGGTCGGAGGAACTGGCACTTTTACACTCTTACACCTGTTCTGCATTTGTAACAACTCAAATCTTTTAGTGCGGCAACTTCGGAACTCCCTGCCTATTGATGTCAGGCCTTTATCGTACTCTTTTCGGCACCTGCTAAAAGCATTATTGTTTAGACAAATCTACCTAGTTGTTAGGATGCGGGTGGTGCTGTGGGTTAAACAGCACAGAGCCTAGGGCTTGCTGATCAGAAG